TGTTATTCTTAGTAACAATTATTTTCTTAATTCCCGCATCCCGGCATAAGAATAATACTTTCTGGCACTTTATTTCATCAAGCATTGAATGAGTGTAATGAGTAATCAGGCGCCGTCGCCGGTCGCGCCCTCTATCGTCTGTCTGTGTCTGGGATTAATTTATTACTGCCAACCTCCTGACTCACTTGCTTGAAAATATCCACGCACTTTATTTGGGCTGCTTTCAAATTCTGACTCAATCGGATGTGTTTTATATCCGTAGATGCAGTAACTTTATACTGTTATATGTATTTAAACATGTATATGTATAAAAGGACCATATATTGCCATATAAATAATTTCTAGTAAAGATAACTTCTAGATAGGACACCCTTAGAATAGGTGAGTAGGGGTATAAAAAAATACATGCGACCTGTTCTTAGACCTACTAAATATACTTCCAAAATTTCACAAAAATCGGTCAAGCCGTTTCGGAGAAGTTGCATAAAACACTAGATTTTTATATATTGTTAGACGAACAAATGGAAAATTATAAAACGACTTCAAATACGTAGGTCTATATTGATTTTTTTATTTTAATTTTACTAAAAATTGTTTTGGTTTTTGGCATTTTGTTTACTTTATATTTGACATAAAAAAAGGAGGTTAAGTGTGTTATTTTAGTAATATTAATATTTTTTTTTGTAAATCAATTAGGACTACTCTTTTATATTTGAAAGCTGGTGTTATTCAAATAGTTCCATATAAATCAAGACCAGACGATCAGTACCAGACGATCAAAATCTGATCAGTACCTAGTTTTTGAGTTATCGTTAATAATGCGATGGAAGACTTTATGTGCCATGTTTAGGTCATGAAAATTATATGTAGTTTTTGAATAACGTGAAGCCCTCAGTGAGCAAGATATTTTAGCCCGGTTTCTTTATTTTAATTTTTTATTAAGCGTCGGACGATTTATATTTAAATACGTGGGTGAAAGCTTAATGACGCCATGCTTTTAACTTTGAACTTATATTTTTACACTTCATTTGTATTGTGAGTGTTTCTTCCTATTTCTTTCAGTATATGTACCTCGTAGGTGTCTGTAATATTCAACGTTTATATACCAATTTATAAATATCCATTAAATACAATTTATTTTCATATCTTCTATTAATATCTGTAAAAAGAATTAGGTATATGTTTGTTTTATGGCTGCATTTTTTTTAATTAACAACTCTTTCCGGAATAAAAATAGACATACAACAAGATGCCAAAAGACTTGCGAATTTTTTATATTAATGAATTATTTAGGGAATAATAGTATCTATAATAATATAAATGTAATAGTTTTTCTATTTAGAAGCAAAATACTAAATCAGCAAAAACTAATGACGCAGCAACCAGACGTCGAAGGAAGTCAGTCAGCAGACAGTCCTGTTGTGATGCGTCGACCGGAACGTGCAATATAAACTCTAACCTCACAGTTAACTTACAGTTAACTTGAACAATGGGAGGAACAGATGCGTTTCAGTAAGTCGTTTTAGTATCTAATTTACAGACTTCCTGGCAACAATTCAGTCTAGACTTGAGCGTGGCTGGAGCGAATCGAAATTGTATTCCTATACTGTTACAAGTACAACTACTTGTTCTGATAAAAATAAGGAATGCCAATTAGTGGTACATTTTTTTAACTTAAAGATATGATCGCTACTTGATACATTTGATACGGGTGACGAAATACTGATTTTTGTAAAAAAAAATGTTAATATTTTCGCCTAAATGTCATTTAATCGCTAGACCTACAGGTGAAAAAAATAAGGCGCGGCCTAAGATTGCAAAAGTAAGACAAAGACGTAAAAAAATGTAGAAGTTGTCAATATAAGTAATTGCTAAAATTATTTTCAAGTTCAAGTTCCATCGACTTATTTCATACTGATTTATAACGTCATTATAATATAAATAAAAAGAAATTGCTCTGGACATTTCGTCTGAATAAAGCAGGGTTTGTGTTATGGGTGCTGTTAAACATACTTACGTGTCTTTTTTTTTTAATATAATAAAATACGTACATTAAAAACAATCAGGCGACGGCAAATAAATGCGATGCAATTTGTCTTGGAAATAAATAAGCTTTTATGATGAATACGATATTTTTTTGTGTATAATTTACAGCATAACAAGAAGGTACTCCTATTTTTTGTGGTTGATGATGGATTGGTTCACCCGCCTGAGCTAACGGCATACGTTGGCGGGGCCAGTGAAGATACTATCAACCTTCGCTAGTGCCCCGCCAATGTATGAACAGGAATTAATCCATCAGGAATTAACGGCAAAGGTTTCCAGATCGGACCTCGCAACATGGTTGTTACAAATTTTTATTATTTTTATTAATAAATCCCTATATCTCTCTCCCTCGTCCCAAATACCCGTACCGGTTATAGTCTCTCTATAACAGGTACGGGTATTTGGGATGAGTATAGTATACTAATTCTGTAAACCTAAATGTATAAGTACACTAAAACATGCTTTATTGCAAATATTTAATTTGGATTTGAGTTATCTTAGTCGTCGTTATCTGATAACCACAGCTGATAATATTCTAAGAATCAAATATATATTTTTTGTATTGTCAGTACGTCATTCTAATATTCCGTACACATCAAATTTGGACCGAGGTACTTTGTAAAAAAGTCGTCTGCGTGGATACCTCAGTCTAACCAACTACTAGATACTTGCTGTATAAGATGTTTTGGGTGAAGGGTGAGATAAAATAGTGAAATTACTTCATTTGGAAGTGTCTTTGTCTTCTGGAGTTTCAACGCGCTGGTGGTGTCACAGGCCTCACGTAATCGCATGGTGCCCATGGCTTTGGCCCCTAATCATGAATGTGAACGGTTGACATGACTGGAGTCTACCTACAAGTCAGCCTATCGGTTGTAGCCAGCCATGTTTGTCATACTTCTTAATAAAATCAATACACCTGAATTTGTAGATTCTTTTATATATTTGTATATAAATACTAAGTTTTTTATATATATAATCAGGATGGTAGCGGCGGCCTAACACACCGCTTTAGTTCCAACGGTCGCGGGTATAATTCCTCGGACGTCGCAAACAATTGTATTCATCAGAATAAGAATATGTTTCGTTCTTGGTGTTCTCAATGTATATATTTTTCACGGATGATACCTAATGGTAAGTGGTAACCATACATAACTAATTAATACATTATTTTAAAAATACACGATTATATATAATTAATATCTTCATATATTATACATTCGTAAATCCGTCCAGTCATGATTGGGTAACAAACATTTAAACATATTACAAACTTTCACATTTTTATAATATTAAATAACCTTGGACATATCACACAAAGGCATCTAGTTAGTAACAACAACAAAGTAGCCGCAATATTAGTAGAGTTTATTGTTTTAAGACTATTCTTATCTGTAACGAGAAAAATTTGGTTTTTTTATGAAATTGGAATGGCAAAAAGCTGGCGGCCCCCTTGATAGTACCTACGCGGTAACCGTACCTAGGTATATACATAAACAGCAGTACAGACATCACGTTATCGTGTGACACCCGCTAATCCACTTATGTGTTGTCATTCCAGAGTACTAAACTAGACATGATTCTCAATGTAAAAAAAGATTCACCAACTTCTAAAAAAAAACTAATACTTATCTTAAAAAAATCGGCAGAAAAATTTAGAAAAGATAAAAGTTTGGTTTGAGATAAAGGATACAACTTCCATTTATATTAAATTTAAATAAGATCTGTACAGCTGTTTAGTCCAGAATGGATAAACATAACTTTGAAAATTATAATATTAGTATGGATTCGTGGTTAGCAAAAACAAAAAAAATATAATAAAAAGAATTTTTTGCTTTATGTATTAACATTCTTCTATTTTATTTTATGGTTATACGCTAATTAAAGATAATTGTATTTTATTAATCTATATCCATATTCTTATTTTTTGTATTGGTTACTTATATTTTAGTTATAACTTAAAAAAATATATAGGTACGTTTTCTTGGGAAATATAATAGATATTCGTGCGCCACGAGTATCCATTGTTCTACTTCATGAATTTATAATCTGTAATACAATTATTTTACATATGAAGGTCAATGAAGCATCATTACATTATTTAAAGATAATTAAACAATAGTAACTATATTAAGGTTTTGTACTAGTAATCAACTAGTGATGTGAATTTATAAGCTATTTAAACAATTAATAATAATGAAACTGCAATCGTAGTGAGTCGTTAACGTGATCCTGATACATTTGAGATGAGATAATAACTTCGCGGAAAAAATAGATTACCATTCACACGTGGTGTTAATTACCACTGTTTGTATTAAATCAGTAGGGTCTGACAGTATTACGAATTATCGTATTTACGAAAAAGAACATTGAAATGTCTAAGTAACTCATCACTTTCGATGACTACCTCGATGGTGTAGCAGTTTAGCTCACCGTTTTACTTGCATGGTCGCAGGTTCGATTCCTCGCACGGTACGAACATTTGTATTCAATTAGGCATACATAAAAAGAAACTTCCAATTTTTTTTCACAGGGACAGACAGAAATTTTATTTTCGATATACATAGATATTAGACGACGACTGAATTGCGTAGGATTTCAATACGACATTATCTGCGCAGTAACAGTTTTTACTTACATGCTCCACTGCGCATGTCCATTTGTTTATTGTTTACATCGTTGGCGAAAAACAACTTAAATAAAATCTGTTTGTCCACTTCATACTTACTGCGAGCTACTAAAACGATCACGTGATCTCGTGGTATAATCTAGACTAATATGACTAAGTTATGTCTGTGGTATAATAGATACTTTTTATAGACCAACGTCATATTTATTATTTATCTAGCTGTTGATTGACATTGTAGAAAAACACGAAACTATGTCACTATATTCGTAACATATTAAATATATTCCTCAATTACTATATTTTAATACAACATAAATTTGGCGACGAGATGTCGTTGGAACGTTTTAATTTTAATATATTTGACAACAATACAGAAGACTGGGATTACTATATACAAAGATTTGAGATCGAGTTACAACTTCATGGGCTTGACGGAACAACATCAGATAGTAATAATAAGAGAAAACAATTACTTCTCTCCCGAATCGGTCCAATATCATTCAAGGTACTTGTGGATTATTTTCGACCGACTCCCGTGACATCGAAAACTTACGAGGAACTTATTAAAGTACTACATGAATATTATGGCAAGAAGACCTACGTTCTCTCCGAACGGTTATCTTTTGCTACAAGATATAGAAACGAAAATGAGACAATTTCACAATTTATACTACAACTTCGTTCACTCGCTGGATACTGTGAATTCGGAAATACACTAGAAGAACGAATTCGAGATCAACTAGTAATCGGCATTAATAACATTACATGGCAACAGGAACTCATCAAAGAACATCCAACGAATGATTCGAAACTTGCTGATATTATCGCTACACTGAACAAACTGGAACAAGCAGAAATACAGAGTCAACGTTTAACAAACAACAATTATACTACTATGGAAACTACTAATGAATCACCGCAAGCTGTAAACAAACTTAACATCAACAACAATAGAAAACCCGGAAAGAAAACAAACATTCCCTCAAAAAAATGTATATTTTGTGGAGGAAAATACCACCAAAATTTGAACGACTGTCCTGCAAAGGGGAAAAGATGCAATGCTTGCAATAAAATGAACCATTTCTCGAGCGTTTGTATAGGTAGTGGTCATTTAAAAATAAACAAGTATAATACAAGACAAGTTTCAATAAAGAAACATCGTACTGATAGCGAAAATGAAGATTCTGATGCTGAGAGCACACACACTCGTGCGGTTGGTTTTCGTAATCCTGCCAGCAAAATTATGATATCGACGAAACTTAACAGTATAGAAGTTGATATGTTATATGACCCTGGGGCAGTACACTCAGTTATTGGCAAATTGTTATGGAAAGCAATTGGTCGACCAACACTAAAAAAATGTAAGAATCTTGTTGCCTACACAGACGTCAAGATCGAGACTCTGGGAATCTGCGACATAACCGTAATGGCCTTTAATAGTGTGAAGATATTGTCAGCCTATGTAACAAAACATAATGACTTACCTTTATTTGGATTAAATTGGTGTTTACAATTCAACCTACCTATGCCACCGGGGGCTCGGCTCTGTAACATAAAAGAACCCATAACAAAAACAATTCCCCCTATAACAGGACAACATAATAAGGATGAGGTTGAATGTTTACTAAAGGACTTTAAAACACTATTTGATGGGAAATTAGGTACAATTAACTGTCATACTGCCAAGATCCATATTCCTAACAATGTACGTCCTAAGGCTTTCAGACCACGACCAGTTCCATTGGCCCTACAGGACCAAGTCAACGACGAATTACAGCGTTTAGTAAGAGAGGGGGTTCTAGAACATATTGATACAATGGTAACGCCGATTGAGTGGGCATCACCTATAGTCATTGCAATTAAATCTAATGGAAACGTACGTATTTGTGCTGATTTCAAAGTAACGATCAACCAGCATGTACAAGTTGATGACTACCCCTTACCAAGGTTTGAGGAAATTACATCCAAATTAGCTGGGGGTCAATTGTTTACAAAAATAGACCTTAAAGACGCCTACCTTCAATTATTGGTACACCCGGACTCCAGGAAGTACTTAACGATCTCAACACACAAGGGTTACTTCCAGTATAAAAGATTACCCTTTGGTATATCTTTTGCACCAGCAGTTTTTCAAAGAACCATGCATCAAATCCTAAGTGGGCTGGATGGTGTTGTATGTTACCTCGATGACATTTTGATAACGGCGGAAAACCGACATGAGCACATAAAACGAGTCAGAACAGTCTTACAAAGGCTACAAGAAGCAGGTATTAAAAGTCAGATAACTAAATGTTTCTGGTTACAGGAGAGTGTAACTTTCCTTGGTCATAAGATTGATAAAAACGGTTTACACCCAACATCGGAGCGAGTTGAAGCTATCAAAAAAATGCCAACTCATTGGAGTTGAACGTGGCCGAATTACGATCCTTTTTGGGTTCCATTACATACTATGGTAGATTTATAGACAATTTACATGTTAGATGTGCACCGTTGTATCGTCATTTGAAGAAGAACCAAAAATGGGATTGGACCAGCGAGGATACCCAAATAACAAACGATCTGAAAAACATTTTAACATCGAACGAAACACTTGTCCACTATGATGAGAAACAGCCTATCTACGTCAGTAGCGATGCCTCTGATAAAGGAATTGGAGCAGTGTTATTTCATAAAATTAATAACATCATGCGTCCAGTCGCATTCGCCTCCAGAACTCTTTCCGAAACAGAACGTCGATACTCAACAATCGACAAAGAGGCATTAGGGATTGTTTATTCAGTAACAAAGTTCCATCAATACCTTTATGGACGAAAATTTACTTTGCTAACAGATCATAAGCCTCTTGAACGTATTTTTAGTCAAGAAAGAGAAACACCCAAAGTCGCAAGCAACCGATTACTTAGATGGGCCATGATCTTAAACAGTTACGAGTACATCATAAATTACCACACGGCTAAGGAGAATACTCCAGCAGATGCACTTTCAAGATTACCGCTGCCAAACTCTGATTTAACTATAGAAGAACGAACAGGGTTACCCCAATTTGCCCATCTCTTACATCTTAGACTGAGTAATATACCCGTAACAAAACAAAAACTTAGAAAAGAGACACTTAACGATATAAACCTTAACAAAATCAAAAACTTCATAACAAATTATTGGCCGGAAAGAAAAGAACTACCGATAGAAATGCATACTTACTTCGAGAAACGAGAACAATTGTCATTTGAAGATGGAATTATCCTGTGGAACGGAAGACTATGTATACCAAAAAAATTACAATCAGCCATACTAGAAATGTTACATGACGGACATAATGGGGTAAATGCTATGCAGTCACTGGCAAGATTGCATGTGTACTGGTCAAACATAGACAAAGATATTCAAAATTTTTCGAAACATTGCAAATTATGCCAATCTTCAAAAACCAACACTAACTCTGCACCGGTGTACCCTTGGGGAGTGCCGCCGGAACCATGGCATAGATTACATATAGATTTTGCGGGACCATTTCTCGGGTACATGTGGCTTATAGCAATAGATGCTTATACAAAATGGCTGGAAGTTATACCAATGAAATCAACAACATCAGGAGCAACAATAAGTCGTCTAGACAACATATTCGCCACATTCGGTATTCCGAAATATATAGTTACAGATAATGGCCCTCAATTCATATCAAGCGAATTTAGAAGCTACTGTCAGAGTATCGGCACAACACACATATAAACAACACCATATCACCCTAGAACTAATGGGTTAGCTGAACGTGCTGTCCGAACATTCAAAGAACGTATGCTTGCCTCGGATAAGAATATTGACATACATGGACGCCTTAACAGAATTCTTCAGGCATACCGGAACACAACCCGACGTTCAACGAACAGAACCCCTTACGAAGCGATGTTTGGAAGAACAATGCGTACTACCTTCGATTTATTGAAACCTAACATCCGAGACGATCTAGAAAGAACGCGATTATATAAGGAGTTGAGACCAACAAACAAAGAAGTTGTCCCACCAACATATAAACTTGGAGATAAGGTTTGGGTAAATAAGCCCTTGACAAAGGGATCAGATCCTGCAATAATAACGAAATGTAACGGACCATACTCTTACGAGGTGGAGTTTTCAAATGGAATTCGTAACCGTAAGCATTCCGATCAATTACGTCCAAGATTGAGCGGCAGTCAGGATGATGACCCTACAAGTGCTTACACCCACTACTATAAACGTATAGACACAGAGGATCAATTACAACATGGTGATTATAGAAACCAGCTATCACCGATACCCTCTACGAGCGCGCAACATCCTGAGGGTCCAATAGTGTTTCAAGATGAGGATGCAACTTTTCCGTCGACATCACGTGGCGCCACTGCCACTACCACAACACCGCAGCTGCAAGTGCCACGTCGTTCGCAACGCCAGCGGAAACTACCAGCACGATTAGGTTTATAGAGACTAGAAGCTTTGTTTTCCATTGGGAGGGAGTAATGTGGTATAATAGATACTTTTTATAGACCAACGTCATATTTATTATTTATCTAGCTGTTGATTGACATTGTAGAAAAACACGAAACTATGTCACTATATTCGTAACATATTAAATATATTCCTCAATTACTATATTTTAATACAACAATGTCCATTTAATTTTTTGTTTGAAATGTATCTCAAATGATCCTTGACGATTTTAAGAATTCCTTCACGTATTGTTGAATACACTGGTGTAAAAATAGGTAGTATAATATTTTATAAGTTAGTAACGGCACAGATAATATAATATTACACATGAAAATTATATATAGAATAACTATCAATAAAAAATACAACAAAATAGTATTCCTAGAGAAGAAGTCTTATAATATACTTTATTTTATTTTCCCGCGCTAAAGAATGGATGTCTGAGATTTCTGTTATTAAGAAGTTATGACAGTAAAAGACAAATAAGAGTGACTCCTTTTTTTAGGCTGCCATAGCCAAAGTTCAATGTAATTCTATTATTGTAAAAAACTTTATTAGAGTGTAATCTCTTAGGCATATTACATTTTTTTATAGTTAATTGTTACACCTACGTATGTTCGAAATCAATCAAGCAAATGAGACTGCTACTTCGTATAAATACCGTAAGCTATTTATACGCTGTCAAAAATTTGATCAACATTGTTCGTGTAGGAACGTTTTTTGTTGATTTTATAACGGACTCGCCTACATACCTTAAAATATGGCAATCATAGAGTATAGGTGGTCAGTTATACTCTTAGAAACAAAAGATAAATGAAGAGAAAGTAAGACAGATATCAAGAATAAATGTATAGTAATATTATAAAGCTTAAGACTTTGCTTATTATTCTAAACACGCCAATCTCAAGATATATTGGATTAAAATTCTTTGAATTTTGGATAGCGCATTTATCGTGAAGCTATATAACAGCATACTAAAAGCAGCGGAGCATCAACGAAAAATTTAGCAAAAATGGGTCAACTAGTACCTATCGTAGTAAATAAAACCGCTATTCATCTGGTAAATAATAATTATATACCAGAGACATTTAAAAATAACAATAGGCTGTTTATGGCTCTGACTTAATTTATCGACTGTCGATTGTTTTCGTAAGTGGCGACTACGAGTTTGATTCAAATTTACTGCTATTAATAGAGTGTCATTTACTGTTTCGGCTATCCTTACTCAGGCGAATGACTTGCATACAATTTTTGTACTGTAATATGTAGTATGTCCTCTAGTAGTAGTCCTTCCTCTCCCTCCCCCCCCCCCCCTCGCTCTGGATAATAGGTATATATAGCTTAAGATGAACTTGTTTTAATCTTATTTAAGTATTTTCATGTGTAATGGATTACAAACAAAAAAATTTTTTTATAATATTTATATATAACATATCTTTCGAATACATACCTTAGTAAACACAATGTATATCATTGTTTCTCTACTGTAATGCATTTTTTTATTCACTGTATTTTAATTTAGCTATGTCTATAATATAAATTTAGGTTTATGTTACATTTACTTCCATTGCACTAAATATTAAAAAAAAATCCCGTGATGTTTCGAAAATAGCAAATGGCCACCTAGTTAAGTATGTCTTTGTACACTGGGATAGAATTAATTTCATTCCCCTAAAGCTTTGACCCATTTAAACTAACTGGATCTTCCAACTGTATAAGTAATACAATTATTATTTCTTTCTTTGCCTCACCCTATATCCTTTTGGTCATTTGTAACTTTCTTGTATCAGGAGTGATCTTCACAACTAGACCATTATCTCTCCTAGACACTATTCAATAATTTTTATGGATATAATGCCCTGTATTATCTAGGTTACCGGTTCCTGTTGCTTGAGAAAATATGTTCAAAGCCAATTTTAACAGGTTTTATTTTTACATTTATTGTAATCCCACTTTTAGTTGTAAACAGCTGTTTTAATATAATATTTTTTTATTTGCCGCACGTACTAGGCACCGCATAATATGAGTATTGAATAGGTATCTGTATTTGTTTGTATTAATACAACTGATTTCCATTATTGCCCGATTGCCAAAGCGAGGACGAGTGATATGTAGGTATAAATGAGGTGTTTATATTCAAGAGTTCCCTTTCTTCGTGGCAAGTGATAGAAATGTTCTCCATTTGACTTTCTGCCAGACCAAATTCCTTACTTCCCTATACAATAGAATTCTATTATTTTTTATTTATATTATATACAATATATATAACAGGGGTCAACCTTATCGAGAGTAACTAGTGCTGTGCTATACTGGTCTAAATTTAGCACTAAATCAGATGATAGTAAGATGTCATGAAAAAACTCTATGAGCTGTGTTTCTTTTTATTTGTTTCGATCAATAGAATTTCGTCTTAAAATCCATCGATTTCAAATCATTTCTCTCAAAAACTATCTTGCATATAGGAAATAAAAGCCACTGCTCCATGTCAGTTATGAGGTGCGGTGACCTTCTAAAAATCTGTGCTTGTATTTTTAATAGCCCACTAACAGTTATGCAGTTGCTGAAAATTTAAAAATTAAGCAATCGCACCTTTAAAACATCTTCACGGGCAGTTCATTCATAGAGGTGAACACTATAAATCAATACAGCAACCTTGGAGACGATATACTATAACTTTACTAAACTTCCCATACATAAATATTATATTAAGACAAATCAAGACTCTCCGAAACAGTCGGAAATTTCTGGACAACCATTTGAAAAATACATAGCGTACCCCATGTATTTTTTCAATATTATCTGTTATGGGACTAGTAATGAATTAATGTATACACATTAATTCATTACTAGTCCCATAACAGATAGTTGTATAACTATACCGCCCAATAATATATTAATTGACAAACTAAAGATCTTAACGAAATTGGAATTAAAAGAATATATATGAATATAAAAACATTAAAAAATATCACTGTTGCTGTGCCCTTATCCTGTTATTTGATAACGGCGCAGTATGTGTTCTTCAATTAATTCCTAACACTCCTTATAGTTGAATTTACTCTCCTGTATAAAAATAACATAAATAATTACCGTCGGCATCATGCTGATCAAAATCATTGGGGAATAGTAGACATGTATCCACAATTGAATTCTAAATGTTGCGGTCACAACTACGCACCCTTCTAAATACGAGTTCATGGTCTTTGTCTTTAGTGGTTAACAGCTGACATTTATGGACAAGTGCCATTCGATTGTAAACCTTATTGTGTTGAGTTGTAAGGTGAAATAACTTCACGTATGTACTCTGTAACTACACGTTCACCAGTATAGCAATAATATCGATCACGACATCAATAGCCTTATTGTAGCGACCTTGCACCTGCTTTTTTTAGAACCACTGGGTCCAACATTTATATATAACTATTGCATAACATAAAATCTACATTAAAAGATGGTACATGATACTTGCTTCGTGTATAGAGTCATGGCCTAAAGGTGGGCACTCTCAGAAAATACCTTAGTAGGCTATTTTTTATTCTAAGCGCTTAACGAAATGCGGTGTGATATATGCCATTAACAAATCTAATTGGAGAAGAGGGAATTGTAGGCAATGGGGACTATTACCACATAGGAGTTGGTAAAAACGATATGTCCCAAGTGTTACATAAATTGTAGGCCATCTAGTAGTCATTATTTTCATATTATATCAGTTCTGTTTCATAGAGTGGTAGAGTTGATAAAAAATACTTAACGGTAAGTACATATCTATCAATTTTACAATCATAAAAATACAAATGTATGTATATATTACTAAAGTTTTGTAGGTATGTTGTTGTTGCATGACAAAAAACAGACATAAGGCGCAAAAACTCTTGTAAAGTTAAAACGAGTAACGTACTATCATTTTATTGTGCAATTACATATTCTTTTTATTGTAAAGTCACCCTGACAAGATCAAAAGTTTGAATTGCATGTATTTCCGTTTGGTAATAATTTCCAAATGAAAATTATTAAAATTAACAATTGAATGATTCTATGTCTTTTAACAGATTCAGTTAAAAATACCCTATATAATTGTACCTAGTAGAATTTCACAAATGGTCACAGAAAGTACCAATTTGAGTATATTTCAAAATAGAAACACAAGCAATAAAATTTCATAATCCAATTGTAGGCTTTTAACATATAAAAATGTATCTAATATAATTACAGATCTACACACAGGTATGTAAACGTTAATTGTAAAATATTACAGTAATATTTTATTAATTACACAATATATCTGGACGGTCATTTTATGCGGCCAGCCGTTAAGAAATATGCCGTCACCCTAACACCGGTCGAATCTTTGATATCCCCGCTACCTGTATCATCCCTCGGTATCTTTTATATTTTTTTTTCCTTTGCTATTGTATGTATTTTTTGTAGATTGAATTACTAGTTGTGAGGTTGCAGCCACAATTCGATACGGCCGCATTCTTGATCATTTAGTTTATTAATGTGTATGCTGTATGAGTGAGAGGGACGAAATATACGTTTTTCTTTTTTACTAACCGCTAAGTTTGGAAGCTGTTTGGGTACGTGAACACACGTCTCCTTTGATGAACTTCGTCATAACATTATTGGTTCGGACCCTTTTACTAATGATAATTATCTTATCTGTGCTTTTACGAACTCAGCGCAGTGATAGAACAAGTTATATTAAAATGTACCTACTACTTCGAGACAGTATCATGTGATTGTTTCTTTTTATAATTGGTGGTGTTGGTCTTGAAGTTTAGCACATCGTTTTAATTCCGATAGTCGTTGATTCGCTACCTAACACGGTATAAACATTTGTATGTAATTGTTTGTTTGTAAAGGTCTGGGCGTTTTTCTATGTATAGTATGTAGGTATGCATTCAGATAACAAAAGTATTTATATTAGTCCTTTAGTAGGTATATACCCATAACACAAGCTAGCTTGGGACTAGATAGCGCTATATGAATTCTCCAGGGATATTATTGTATATTACTTAAAATAATATAAAAATCACTAGAAAACCAATATTCAATATGTTAACGGGATCTTATCACGAATGATTGTATGGCAAATAAAGATATTCACCGCTTTCAACTTTTCGACAAGCTTGTATTGTACTGCTTGAAAATCAGTTGGTCTGCATAATGCACAATTATTCAAGTTCTCATTCCATCACTCAAATTCACAATTTTAATATTGGACCATTGACTCAAATAACTTATATGACTAATTTAATGATTCATATTCATTTTTAAACTTAAATGGAATTCTAAACTGTTTTTTTTTAAGAAATAGATATTCGACAACCGTAAGTAAGAATTGGCTACTACAAACATTATAACATCGTTATCACTCCACAGATATTCATAACCACCCAATCTACTTTAATGTACCAGTATTTCATTTGCATAATGGCTAAGTAATAACAGTCTGAAGAAAAAAAGCAATTTTATTCTGTGGTAGGTAATAATGCAAATGTGTTGTCACATTTCCTTTTCTTTTGTTATTTGTTTTAGTTTCTTTTTAAATAGAATAGTTTGTAAATCGAACTACTTAGAACTGGTTCCAGTGCATTGTGATAAAAGTGTATTCAAGAAAGGTTAAACCATACTGATTGAGGTCGTTGTATTCTCAATTTGGCAAATATTAACAAACAGACTTTTCTAAAGCGATTAGAAATTTAACAATGTTTGTAGATAGAGTTTTGTTTTCCATGACTGAAGATTCCCCCGATAAAAGATAAAAATGTACTTTAGGTTCTTTTTACGAAATTATAAATTCTGTATAAGTATTTCATTGCAGTGTACAAATATAATGAAAGCAACTGTAATCTGATACAATAATATCTTTGTACTTAGCAAAATACGAGCTTAATCTTTTCTTGCTTTCGCTACGCTACGCCAATAAATAATAAAGTATATAATAAAGCCAATTAGCCTTTCGTGGCTAATTTACCAGGAAATAACTGCAATGGTTTTCCACATATATGACCTGCTATTAATATTTCTGATAATTCGCTCTGACGTGGCAGACTTCTTTTATTAAGTGCTACCCCGCTATTGATTCTGACCACTGAGGTTAGTGATTTTGGCTTTCTCTAGGCCAATGAAAATAGTTACTTGGTATTGGTATTCTCGTTTATTTTTCGCCACCCTTATTTATGTAACTTCAACAAATTTTTATTCCACGCGTTTCATTTTCTCTATATCTTAATAAGTTAAAGGATCTGAAATACTCGTAGTCATAACAGTCTTACGCTATTTGACTGTGGTTATCAACTTTCTCTACATTGAAGCATGCCATGGAGCCTTTTCCATAGCCTGGGAAGATCCCGATACGTTATGATTAATGACCTGATAGATTACATTACTTTTAAGTAGAAGCAAAGAACTATATCGTGGAGATGCTTCATTCAAACTTATCGCTGTAATGATTCATTACTTAGATACCAGAGTTTAGTTATTTATTCATTAGTTATCCGTCAAGTATTTCGGAAGTATTTCATCTTATCGTCCTTTCATTAGTGGTTCGTTCCGCATTTTTGAACAATAGCGTTTTAGACAATGGACTTTACTAGACAGACACGACAAAATATCTTATTGTGATTGGTTTCAATGCCTTCAATGTTCATCAAGCATTTTCACTTTAATTTTAACACAGATGATTTCTTATGAAGTCATATCTGTATACGCTAGCGGGATCCTAGTGGCAAATGATAGAATGAAAATTAATACAAGTGTACCTACCCACACTATAGTCATCATTCTAAGATTCATATGAAGATAGACTGTATCCTGAGGACGTCATGGAAAAAAGCCAATGTATAAATTCATCTGCATGTGTACCTCAGTCTTTCCTATTTCTTTCACGGAGTTAGTTCTCAAGGTGATTTCCAGAAATAGCCTAGCCTAGACCTTACAGTTACATAACAGTAGATGTATGTGATCTGTGCAATAAAACCAATTAAGTTATGATAATAGATAAACATCTTTATATTTTATATTAGACACTTCTAATAACAATACTTTTAACAGTCTTACAACAAACGACTTAGTGAGATAGTTGGCGATCAACGCCAGGGTATCTACAATATGTACAACGAGTCAAACGCAGGTGAGCGAGGCGAAGGCGCGCGGCGCAGGGTTTGGCGGCGCGCTGTGACGCTGCACGCCCGCCGAGCAACTCCCCACGCCGCGCGCGACCGCCTCGAAGAACTGCCGCAGGTCGCTCACCGACCGCACCGGCGGCGCCTGCAGGTCGTGCAGCGACGCAGCACGTCGCGGCGTCGTCTGTGGCACTACTACAGGTCGAGCCAGCTGTTCTGTACTCCGCGCTAATCCGCTCCCGGTTTGCGACAACGACTCAAACAGCGCCCTTCGCTCCCTCACCGGAACGTACTTAGTGACAGCCTCGTGAGCATTCGGCGAACAAGACCTCGCCCGGCTCTCCAGCGATGCGGTCTTGCGCCTGGCTGCTTCCATAGCGTAACGGCCCCGCTCCGCGCCACCCGCGGTACCCTCCCACCGTTTTAGGTAACGATGGCGACCTTGCTCCGAATCGGTGGACCTAGCGCGCGGCAGCGTGTGATGTTGCGCGTTCAGTTTACTGCAGTTGTCGCATTTTATGATCTCGGCTTTCCGCACTGGCGCGTCTACCACGTCGGTGGTCTTCAAAGCGTCGAGGGAGAGGGATAGATCGAGACTGCGGTCGGACGATGAGTCGTAGTCGTCGTCCTCGACGACGATGCCCTCGTCCGTTGCGGCGGGTGAATGGTCCCTACGGGGTAACTGTGTCTCGGACGAAGTTAGCAACCTCCGCCGAGCTCTCGGAGGCGGCCTCGGGGGACACAATGGCGTCTCCTGCTGAGGAGATTTTCTCTTTGGTTCGCGACTGGTGTCCGCGGCGGGCAACACGTCCAGAAATCGGACTTGTGGTAACGGGGTCTGACCGAGTATCTCGATGCACAGCGCGCGTACCCATTTGTTGTATTCCGCCGCATTGCAAGTCTGAAACAAAGGAGAAGGGACGTTATTGTATTTATTCCACGCGGATGTAATGTAGATGTTATAAGGCGTACCTAATAGTAAAAAACTTAACCAGTCAGATATTATCGTGACTAATTTGAATATCAATAATAGTTCAACGGAATCTTGAGCCGTGTACTTGTGGGGCTAATGACAATAAAAAACATCTGATCATAAGGGCAAGGCTAGAAACGATATTAAAACTTTTATCCACTGAACGTACGGCCTCTCTTGAAACGTGTTTCTTTAACGTGTCAACACCTTCACGATCTATCCCTTCTTATGGTAAACAGACCATCAAAAGGTCGCTAAATACAAAAGACGATGATTTACGGGGTATTTCGCTTTGTTGCGCACTATTAAAGTAAGCGAATCGTGAGAAAGGTGGGTTCCGTAGGGGCCGGACGTCTTACAAGACGTTACTCAAATTGCCCTATGGCATTAAGCTACACTAAGGTAACGGATTTATTAATAAAATAGTTCATCATTATAGGCTTACTTCCAGGGGAACTACACTATACTATAATATTATTGTCGTCAAGGCATCGGGCGGAAGGGTACAAAATCTTTTATTTTCATTTTATATGTTACATATTACTCATGCAGGGTATCCTATGTCCAACACTGCACGAAACTTCAAATTGCTTCGAAACATTCCTTGTTACGTGCATGTAATACATAAAGTTAACCACTCCAAATTATTATTACAACTATTTGTTATACATGTTGACAGCCAACGTTAAAAACAATGTGGACCCTCCACATAATATAATATTGTAACCGTCACACTGTGACACGCCGGTGATACCTCTGATGCGTTATTGCTGAGGTACTCCTCAAGTGTGGTGTAATAATTTATCAGCAGTCATATTGTCAAGATTATCATCACCCCTGTTTTATGTTGTCGCACAGTTCCGTAACGGTCATAACCGATTCTAGGTTGGTTTCCTACATTGCCAATTAACAGCCGAGTGATTCGAACGTAATTATAAATCAGCAAATAAGCCGATTTGCGGACATAATTAAATTTAGTCGGTCAGTGGATAACCGTTCGTGTTCACATAGCAAGGAAACTACGATTTCCTGTTTTGAAATCAAACACTGTAGAAACCAAATGTTTTCTACAAAATTGTAATTTCTCTATAGAGATAAGGCGAAAAATTTTAGTAATTTTTTATTTTCTACATACGATTGACTAATGTGTGTGTAATGTGTGATAGTTATGGGACATCATGCATAAAGCACACAGTCGTAGCCATAAATAATTAGGCAATTGAAAATAATTCTATGACGTAACAATTTTTTTTTATCTTAGGTGAGATTATAATTATATACTTTTTCATTTGTGAAAATATTGATTGTTATTTTCGTTACCTGTACAAGAGTACAGAATTAATCGTAAAAGAGTATACCAAGCCTTTTAGTTTACACATTACTTGCCAGTTATAAAATCGTATTGGTTATATAGAGCCTACTTATTACACACTACGATTACTTTAAAGACATACGTTCATGGCAGTAACTGTTCAGACATAGACACCTAAATAAGTAAAGAATGTAGGAAAGGAGAATAGAATGTTAAAAAAATAGAAATTCTGTTAAGTTGTGCCAAAACAGTAGGCAAAAACAGTTAATACAAAAAAAACTTGACTTTCATAAGCGATTTAATGTCCTAAATGAATGTTTTCTTTTTATTTTGAAGAAATTTCCTAAAGTATAGAGGAAAGGTGAAAATAATTTTACTCATCAGTATTGTAAATAAGTTTGCAAAAGTATTATTTCATTGTCACAGTTATCAATATAAAGTCTATATAGTGTACATATAACTACTTACTCATAATCACATTATCAGATATATTAGTATCTATATTTGAACATGTTGTGTCTTATCACATGACTCAATCATTACTTTAACGAGTTATAATTAGAAACATGGGAATTGTCAATGTGATAAGTATTAAAAGCACAATATTTTTTTATATTACTATATATATCGAGGTACAATTGTTTATACTATAAACAATTGTACCTCGATAGTACAATAGATTAATTTGTTGTTGATACTAAAAATGCTGCTCTAAATCGAGGTATGTAACCAATAATAAATACTCAATGCACTGAGGCATTTTCATAAAAAAAAAATCCCAATCTCTTAAATATTATTCTTTGACGTAACAAACGATTTCTAGTTGCTAAAATAATTGCGCGAAAAAATCTACGGATCCACCCGTCTATACTATTTTGTAACACGTAAGAAAGTAAAACACTTACGTATTTAATTGTTTCAGTTTTAATTTTAGTCTATTGTCATATTTCGGCGTATCCATCATAAAGCAATGCTCTAATGTATCCATCTACTTTAACATAATAAAGAGGTACAACAGAAGTTTGGATGTTCGAAGTAATCTTCTGTACTGTTTTGCAAATTCTTATCATTTACATTAGGAGCATTCTTATCATTTACATTAGGAGCGAAGCTGCATTAAAAAAGTTGCAAAAGAGGGACAATGTGAGGCAGAAAAAATTGCGCTTGTGCTTGTCAACTAGTTATCAATATTTGTACCGGCCATTCGTCCAGCAGCATCGTTTGGTCTAACAGTGTCATTATCTAAAGAGTTGGTAATTATTTATGAAAGCATTGTCATTGTTAGACAATGAACGGCGGCGTACGTGATGTACTTAGTACATTGTCTTTTAATCTTGTTCGTTGATCATGATATGTGCAATCTCTCGACACTGTATTAACTGTAGGATATATGTTTAGCTTCTTGTTTTCAAATATGATACAGCCGAATGTCATCTGTAGTGCGTAATATGGTATTCTGTGATCTCATGCCTACTGCTATGTTCATATCCTTATCATTATCTTGTCGTTAGTCTTACTTAGATCATACTAGATATTATTCGCGATTTTGTCTACATTTTTGAGATAAAAGATAGCCTATGTACAGACATAATAGTAGTATAGTAGACATAATAGTAGTCCTCGTAATACAATATAACTTTAAATAAAATTTCATTACAATCCATTAATCGTATAGTTGTGAAAAAGTAACAAATAACACAATTTCGTATTTATAATATTAATAATATCGATATTTGGCGGAAACGTCTACTGGATTTAAGCACACTTTAGTACATTTAATTAGTTAATATCAGGATAGGGATAGTTTAGATAAAATTTTACAGTGTGGGAGTTTGTATAAAAACCTCAAGGGTTCATTGTCACCAATTGCTACTCCTCGGACGTCAGTAATTGTTTTCTTAACGGAAACGAAAGTTTCTTGTTACAATTAAGGCGCATGCTTTCTTGCGACAATTAGCTTGGCGAAAATGCTAAATCGCTGTCTATAATTAACAATCTCTTAGACATAAAACAAGATATTTAGTGATATAAAGTTTTTTTAATGTAATTCAAAATGGCAAACAAGCTGACGGCCCGCTTGATGGTAAGTGATAACCGTCTCCTATATCATGAACATCACTATAGACTGCACATTAACAAATAGTTGTAAGTTCATCTTGTATAATTTAATGAATAAAATAAATAAATCACGTCATCACATGTCGTCCGTTATACCATTCATGGTTGTCATTTCAGAGGATTAAGGCATACGGCCTCAGTATTCCGTATTTTGACTGTCTTATTCTACAATCGGGACTTATGAAGCAACTGCTTGGCCTGCTGAAACAGGTAAGACAGAGGTGCCCAGGCAAACTACTCTTTACCAAGTCAGTAATATCGAGTACTATGTACTAATAGTATGTAAAAATATAAGTATCAGTATCGGCCGGTAAATAATAATTATGATTATAGTGATAGCACATGAGCTAATATGTTGGCAAGCAACAGGTAAGCTTCGAAAAATAAGAAAGTGACTGACTAAGCCACAGGTGGCTGTCGTGTCGAATTCATGAGAAATTTCTCAGAATAATTTTGTCTAATAGTACTTTGGCCCGAAATCCATTCTGAGTGTCAATCCTCGATACCACCCAATTGACAATGAGAATTGATTCGGGTCACTAATATCATAGTGGCGTATTAGCCAGGAATTATATTCGCGTATTCTCACTATACTTTCTAGAGGTGACCGCATGAACTGCTACCAATGGCTCTAAAATCCCCATTAGTAAGATTCCCCGTCTTTCCTGTTAATGACTATATCAGCCATGCCATAGTAGATGAGTCATCACAGTCGACATTTTCAACATTATTAATTGCAATCAACTCGTTATAAAACTAAAATAGGAAGTCACTGACCAACAAACTAGACTTAAACATAATTTGTCTTATTACAAAAAGATAAATCTGGTTAGCTCTAGTTGATCAAAGTATTCCTTATTACAAAACGAAGTTTATCTCTAAACCGTGGTTCGTCTCTGGTCTAAAGTTAGACCTGCGATGCCCCTAGTTTAACAGTGGCCTAAATGCAAAAACTCCATTTATCAATATTGTATTGTAAGTTATTGTTTTTTGTAAAAAAGCTTAACTAAATTAAAAATATAGATATATTAAGGCTAATTTGTACAATTAGCTTTAAATATTTTTAGTTAATAATAATAAAAATATATAAAAGACGTCATTTGTTATTTTATTCACTCTTTTGACTTTGAAATAGTCACCATTTGAAACGATCCAATAAAAATATCTCGGCGTTCCTATTCTCCGTAACTCCGTCCTTACTTGTAATTTAAAAATGATTTTCAGCCTAATAGTACGTTAATAAATATTATATATTAATGAAATAGTTATAATAAAGACGTAGATAAATACAAATATTATTTGTTTTTACTTTATACATTTATCTTTGAAGTGATTTTATTTTTGATCATTTCAGTTTTCTGGTAAAATGGGACGCAATTCTACGCTGACAGACATGAGTGACTGATTTCTATATATTATTTGTGGGGAATATATAATGAACGATTTAACTGTAGTACTAAGTAGTCCTCTGTTAGATCTGGATTCATAATAATGTTAGGTTTATTCCAAGTATTAACTTTAGCAACGGTTTAAACCTCGACCATTTAGACCACGTTTCGTCCGAGTTTTAATAGATTTTTTGTAATAAGACCGTAAATCTCTTGTTTTTATTTGGGGTTGACGCAGTAATATCTTTTACTTCCCCTGGTCCCTATAAAGCATTATATCTACATGTAACCTTACATTTTCACATTATCCATCTAAGATTTCTCTGGTTACTTTCTTTAACTCTATTAAAGCCTATTTTTTATGTAATTATTAATATGATATATTGATGATTACCTGAAAGGTGGCAACTGCAGCATCGTCGCGCAACCGTGACAGCTGGAAAGCGTTTGGCAGTGTCGGGGCCATTCGCAGGTGTAGGTCCCGCAATGGCAGTCTGGCAGCACGTCCTCTTGGTAAGGTACCATCGCGCCAGGCCAGCAGACAACCTCCTCGTATCGCGGCTCGCACCCACGCCCACGATTCTGTGTCATCATTGTAATACTGACGTAGGACTCCTGTGGACAATAATATGAATGTCAGATATAAATAGACATTGTTTTGCATGGATGTGTTTAATTTCTACTAATTTATTGCATTAACGAATTCTTTTGGAAAGGAATTAGAATGAGTGGAAGTCAAGATTCCTAGACATTATTGAAACACTTACAGTTTGACAGATATTAACTTTATTAAGGAACTTTTTTCTTGCGCAGAAGTTGGTTAGATAGAACGTGAAGATTTTTAGGTTTTCATTGACCCTCGATAAAAGTGTGTCATATTCCTATGAGTGTATTTCAAATATTTTGGAATTTGTATTGGAATTAACATAAGTCAATATACCTACTTAAAACTAGATTGCAAAACATTGCATTAATATTAAAACTGGGTTAGGTACTGGCGTAATTTATTAGAGTCGACTTACAGACCGTAGTCTTAATACATTTCCTTGTGAAAGAATAAGTTTAGAATTTGTAGAGGTCAAAATAAGAAAAGGAAAGCAAAATATATATGACAATAAAGTCCATATTCGTTTTAATATAAATGGAATATTTGACTTGATAAAGGAGATTATTGGCATCAATTAGCGAATTCAAGTGCTCGACAAGATAAAATGTGATAGATTTATATCGGTTTATAGTAGTAAAGCTATAGTAGACGCAGTTGCGAGTATGTAATGTAATATATACAGACTGGTGCAATGTACTTGGTACTACGTTACATTGTTATCAATAAAGCATCTGTTTGCATTTAATAAGTCTGCATTGTGGTTTACATTGTCAAGTTCATCCGGTCGTGTGTGGTAGGAGGGCTCGACCTGTGTGATATCATATTCTCTTTTTTACTGTCTATGCATATTTATTGTTTATGATGTAGTAGCGTTGTCACAAAGTACCTATCATAGACGTAAAGAATATCCTATTGTATAGTAGGATTATGAAAGTTTTAACTAAATGTAGCAAACTGAATTACAATACTGTCTTATAATAAATTATTCAGATAATAATTACACGTCAAGCATCAGTCTCTCTGTATTTTGTACAACCTTTAGTTACCTAAACGCTGGAACCATGTCGTGAAGCGAGATTGATTACATTGGTACCGTATATACCGTACAGATTATATTTACCTATGCACTGAGAGTGAAATCGGCGCTATACTTAAATAGTAAACAATAGATATATGAGACGGATAATACGCTATGGACACGATCGGTACACGATCTTGAGAATGAGTCTATGAGATTAAATAACCCAGTTGTCAGAAAGTGGTCGAAAGTGTCCTAATGAACCGGATGACTATTTATCGTACGGAAATATATGACAATATGATTGAGAAAGACATAAGTAAGCATTTAAGTATGGACATGCATAAATTCCCACTAAGTGGACAGAAAGATATCAATTAATAAGTCTAATTATAATTTTGGACGGTCTCTTCCATTAGATACACTAAATGTGCCAAACCAATATAATATACAGAACTTTTTTTTATAAGGATAAGAATGAACTCTCCTGAAAATAGAAGGTTTTAGGTTGAAGGAATTAGGTTGCTATATAATATGTATAGTGACTACTTATTACATTGATTCTACATATGTATATTGACTATTAAGTACATATCTGTCACACGCAAACTTTATCTGCTTTTTTAATAAAAGATGCTTATATTCATCATTGTGATACAATCTATATTAATGTCATATTTTATTAAGATAAGTTTAGCAGCTTAGTCGTGCAAAAGGTAACAAACAGACAGTACAAGTACAGTATGCAGATAGACAAAAACATTTTACATTAAAACCATTAGTATTGATTTTTTTCATAAAACTCCGAGCGCAATACCAATATAAACGATTTATTGATCGCTTAAATTGTGCGAAGCTATAAAAGGTAAAAGAGTTGTTCATTAGCCTTTATTTTCTCTTTGTTTTATAAATAAATTTTATTCTGAAAAGGAAATGAATGACAGATATGCCTGTTTTCGTTTGGCATCCTCATTTGGGCACTTCAAAATTTCGATTGAGAAAGTTCATTGTATAACCTACTACCAATTGTCTACTGATTTAAAAAAAGTATAAGTTTTATTTACACGTATCATTGTATGTTTTATTAATGTATTAAAACGATTATTTTTATAATAAAAAATAGGACTATAATAAACAGTAGATAAACAACAGGTTTGTGTTAGATTTTGTAAATAAATACTGCATAGGATTCTATAGGATATTTTATCACTTCGCATTAATCGGGCTATCAACCTTTCCAGCTACACTAAAACCTTATTCGATATACGCGATTAATACTTTAAAAATACAATGTGACATATAAATAAATTTCATTGAAATAATCGAACTTTGTTTCAAGGACATTAATATAGAGCTCCAACATATTTTAATAGTAAATATACTAAGCGATCACCATTACAACCAAAACTGCAACAATAGTGTGAGGAAATTTTCTAAACAATATTATCCTGTAATACTTGTAATGGATATAACAATACAATTATTCTATTAGGCCCGTATACTTGGCCACCCTACTGTCAAGGGGCAACTGACATTTGAACGCAGATGGTGCTAACAACAGGCGATTACTAAAAAAAAGGTCAGGACTGATCGCAACTACAGAGAAAAGGTTCGAGATGTAAAGAAAAAGCTTGTATAGATAACCAGCAACGGAAATCGAAGTTTTTGCAACATAAGCAATAAAATGTCGATGTCCTTTGAATAGTATAATAGTTTTAAGATTTTATGGGATGACTATTAAACCTTATAACTATTTCTATTTTATTTTACATATTATAAATACATATTTTCTATATACAACAATTAATTATAGGTAAATTTAGCAAAAGTTTTTGGAGTTACATTTGCAAGCTGTCCTTTGCATTTGGATTTATCAATCGAAATGAAATCGAAAAGATAGCAAATACTATTTTTTCAGTCTACTGAAAAAATATACATAATCGAATAAAACATTTTTAGTTGTTTTCATCTATATTACCCTCGATTTAGACTACATCCCAATTTAATTATCTCAAAAGTTATTCCGCAGTCTTCATTCATCACAAAGTAATGTGTTGTTTCCGACAAAAACAGAATAAATCTTTGTAATAATTTAACCACTTAATTAATTGTTGTCACAAAAATGAATCACGCCTACACAGTTTTTTGTAGTGAGTAGACGTTAATGATATCATTATTCTCTTTAAAAACATACTGTTTTTAAAGATAAAGTAGATTGGGACCTTACTCGCAGGTTGCTGCTGAATTTTTAGAGAACATTTGATACAGAACTTATCTATAGTAACATACTACTTTATAATTACAAGAGGAGTTTTTTTCATTAATAATAATGGAATGGTGCCCTCTCCCCCTGCGCTAACGGTTTACGCTGGCTGGACCAGTGGAGGATGATAAGACGAATATAAGCTCGGGTCAGTTAGCTCATAGCGGCATATTAAAGGAATTATGACATTGCTATCCAGGGGGCAATGTGTAGAGGTCAACCTGACTTTGCTAGTGATGAGTTTATTAATTCATTTTTCTAATAATCTTCTAAATCTCCATCCCATAAGTATCAGCTCAACACCATGTGTATTTAACCGGGGATCCTTGAGGGACAATCAATTACCCAGAAACTTAATTGAATAAAATATGACACGTACGTGAAGGTTTCCTGAAATTTACATTGAACCCTAAATAAAGATGTACCAATAGTTCTTTGGCTATTTTTATTTACTAGTTACCGGGTCGGCCAGATGTTTTCAATAAAAACTATAATGTATAAGGTGCATTGTATTGTCTACAGTAGGTACTCCATACAAACACAATAGCCCATTTGATAAGTCCGGCCAATTTCTTGACTCCTTAATACATTTCACTCGAGAGGAGATTAGCCGAGTAGGGTTGACGTTTGTGTGTGAATATATCGGCCTGACTGTAGTAGCCAAATATTATGGACACTGTAAAACCTTTTTTTCGAATATCGAATGGCGTTTAATCAATAATAATATAATAATTAATAATAATATAATATCTCAGCACATTCACGCAGCGGCAATTAGTCCAAAGCTAAGCATAGCTTCTGTTATGGGTATGTAAATAAATTATATAAGTACAAAGATTTTGTAAGTACATACATAGTATTCAAACATGAATAACGTTCATGAATGCAAATGTTTGGACCGTGCGAGGAATCAAACCATCGGATGTGAAGCAGTGTGCTAAACCACCGAACCCTATAATTAATATCTAGTTTATCGCGGCTTTCCACGCTAGGAACCCCGTATTATGTTAAGGATTGATATTTTTCGAAACCGAAACGAAAGGAATGGGATTGTCAGTAATGTGGACAAATGACCCCATTACTGACAATGCACCATGTCAGGTTGACTTCCACGCGGTTCTCCCTGGAAACCATCGTTATAAATTCTTTGTGAATTTGTCACGATGGGCTAACTGACCTGACCTCATGTTATCACCAACCACAGCCCCGCCAGCGTAAACCGTTAGCGCAAGGGAGCACCATTCAATTATTATAAAAAAAACTACTATGGAGTTAGAGACTTCGTAATAAAAATTTGTAGTAGAACGTAATCTTTATGTTATCTATATACTATACATTACAAATTTTAAGTACATCTCGACAAAATTTGTTGACGGATATGCTTTCTTTTATTTAACAAAAAGCTGACGAATTTGCATGTACATGTACCCAGTAATTTGATGAATTAATGTTTTATGTTATAACAGTATTATATGTTAGGTAGGTAGGATACATTATACTTTTCCTCTACAAAACAATAACAAATGACAGTTTAAAACATAGGTTTCCTCATAGTAAATACAAAATAATAATACTTTTAACAATAGTCTTCATACCTTCATTTGCCTTAAATAATTCCAGTCACTATGATATTTAACAATATCTATGCTTACTTTTTAGGATGCAAGTTGCAACAAATGCATGAAAAGATAAAATTGACAGTGGAGTATGTCTTTTTTTTTAATGAAATATCTTTGTCTAATATTTTCACACGAGGTCATACGGAAGGTGATACAGATTTTCACAGCGAAGTAATATAAACAATAACGAGTAGCTCTCTTGTTATTGACGAATTAAAAAGAACTAGCAGTTAAATAAAGCTATAATTTTGTAGTCCTGATAGGGGTCAGAGGATTGTTAGTAAGTAGGGCTAGTGACTACATTACCATGTTAGGTTGCCATTTAGGTAATCCTCCCTGAAAACATTCTAATCCTGAAGACAACATTACGATTCTAGTTAATTAAAATTCATAACAAAATTACCTGATATTCGTAGGTTGGGATCAGCAGGCGTGGGTACAGGGCCTGGAGTGAGTTCTGGTCGAAGTTTTCTCAGACCGGCGACCACTCGTGGCGCCGGTGACTGTTCTCCCACAAGCATCTCCTCACCACATTTTACAAAATCACTACCACAATCAACATTAGAACAGCACCACTAAAACAATATAACTCGAAATTGTCAAACAAATGTCAACGCGCCAAAATTACCATAGACTTTGTTTTTTTAATCGTCGAATAGTCGGTAGACGCGCGCGAACATTATTTACGGCCTTATTGGTTTTTAATGTACAAAATAGAATACGACTGGACGGCCAGCCGGCGCGTCAATGAATGAATGAAGTGGATTTGTTTTCACCCCACTACTACGTTCTACTACGACACTACGAATGCGACGATCGACGAGACAATGGTGAGTATGTAGATAATAAAAATATTCGTCGCAAGTTATACTGTGCTGCCATCTATTGTGGAGTAGAGGCTGCAAGTATTTCATTATATTTTACGTTGTCTTTGTCTTTTATAATTTATTATTATTATTATTGCTTTAGTTAAATGTTTTTAATATTTTATTATTATTTGTCTTTTAATTAATAATTACTTAATAGGGCAGTGACCGTTGTCAATTTCATACAATGTTAATTATATTAGCGGGTTTGGGAATTAGACATTTTAATAAAATTTAAAGAGCGCAAAAAATGGAAAATATATGAAAGATGTGATTTGTTAATTATTTGTATATAAAAGATACATAATTAATCGTCATCTAGTAACGAGTAGTAAATATTACAAATGTTTGCTTCTCATTCCGCATTAAGCATTCAACTTTTTTTACGATGTAGGTACTGCCATCTACTAACATTAGTAAGATCTATTTCAATATTTAACAGCGACATCTATGTAACGTGCTTTACATTAATAGTTTCGCCTACTGTGAAATATATTAAAATATTATCATTATTAAGCATATCAGTAGATGGCAGCACTTACAGTTCCAAAAGCGACCTCTCTTTTCCACAGTTAACATTTCTTAGAAGTGTGAGTATTAAACAGTAGTAAACTATTTTTGTAATGGATAGATGGCAATACTAGGATCATAACTGACAACTATTATTAAATCATAATTGATCACTTAATTTTTAGGAGAAACTTAGCTAACTTAGAAATAAAATAGTACCAAATTCAAGCAAAGTTAATAGTAGTTATTATTTATTCCAATATAATAAATAAATAATTATTTATTTGGAAACTGAAAGTAAAGAAAAGGAAGATAAACTTTCGTAGAATCCTGAAACTACAGGTATGATAATTATCGTACACTGAATGGCAATGTATGAGTGATATTTATTACGGGTGTCACATGATAACGTGATGTCCATAGTGCTGTTCAATTACATATATATACGACGCTTATCATTTACCATCAGATGGTCCAACATCTTGTTTGCCGTTCCAATCTTATGGGACATGATTAGAACAATAAAAGTAGAAAGCACTCTTCTTAAATCCTTATAAATGTCAAAAAGTAAATTCTGTACCCAGTTACTCTAAAAAGTATCAAATAGAGAAAAAACAATTTGATAAAAAAAACATAAATTTCGTACCTACTCTATGATCACGTTACGAGTACTACTACTGTACTGCGAATGTTATGTAACTATATTTCATGTAATCGTACGGAATGTCTGGGAAATATAGACAATATAACACATTTTTAAATATCATTTATTTAAATTACTCCTTTCGAATTACAATATTAGAAGTTACGAGTGTAACTAAAAGGGCATAACTAATTAACACCAATACTTAAAAACTATCGCAAGCTTTTAATATTCATAAAGGAAGACATCGAGATCAAATAAATGGCACATAAATACATCTAAATGTCATCAACATACATAATATTACCACACTATAATTAATGTATAAAATTAAGGCACAATCGTTCAATTAATTCTATATAATATAAATTAAAACAAATTAAAGCTTTGTCATGGAAGAGACTAATAATATCACAATATGCGAATGTCCCCCAAAAATGAGGAGTTCTTCACCAAGGACGCCACTTATTGGCGTCATCGTCTGCTGTAGATTCGTTAGCGTGGTATTCTTTTTTCTCAGCATAAAAAGCCTCCAGTTGACGCCTCGCCTCTTCTTGCTTTTTGTACTCCTGGTACTCGATTAATTTTCTTTTCTTTTTTGGTGGTAAGTTGCTGTAATCCATCGGCAATTCGCATTGTTCCGGAAGATTGGCCACCTCTACTTTGCTTTCAACCAAAGGAGTCGTGTCTAATTGATTAACAGCGTGGTATGCAACCAATGTTTTTGGTGAGTGAGTTTCGGAAGATCTCGATGGCGATCTGAATTTTCTAAGATCCAATGTATCGTTGCTAGGAGTATTCATTGCAGCACAGTGCTGCATTGTTTCACCTCTATAAGACTCGTTTTTATAGGAATATCTTGAGTCTTGCTCATCTACATTGATATGCGTGTCTGAGTTATTATCATTACTGCGTTTTTCCATTATATGTTGTCGAATCTTTTGGAGTATAACGTCTTTGGCTTCAACTGGAACTCTGTTGAAATATGTATTGTTTCTATGTCCCTGACCGTTAACATTGTCTGATACTTGTTGGGGAGCTATTTTATCTACAGTCGTAAGAAGGCCCGTCATTGGTGTCTTGCGTGTTACGGTTGCATTCGACCTGGGGTATGCCCATTGTTTTGGAACTCCGTCTCCTGAATAAATTGAGTCTTCTGCGTCTGATGAAGATCTGTCGTGATCACTATAATAATGTTGCCTATCCGACACTACAGAAGAAGGGGAAATCGGTGGTGAAAATGGTGGTCTGTCTGGAACTTGGATTGTGAGAGGTTGGGCAGTAATAAGTCGCGATAAATGGCTAATCAAGTTTTGGCTGACTTTTGAGTCTAAATCCGGTACCGACATTATGAAACGGCATGCTTCCGCCGCACATTGTCCGAATCCAGCTTGAAACTTCTTCGCCTCTACAACTGGATCTTTAGGGCTGTGTAACTTGGTAAGGTGGTTAACGGTTAACTCAAGGATGTCTGCCTTTTCCAACTTGCTTAAGTTGTCGTCATCGATCTGTGAACAAAAGAAAAAAACAAATTAGCGAGAAGCGCAGGTGCATCCATCGTTTCTCACGCTACTCGAGGGTAAACGTCACATTAATATAACTGTACGGGTGTACGAAGATAGGTTCTGTTTATTAATGGAACTTGTACTTTTGAATTCCAGTTTTGAGGCGGTCGCTCAACATAAGTACCAGTGTAATAAATAGAAGGACAACCGGTTCGTAATAAAAATAAATGGCGTGTGAATGGATGATGGATTGCGCTTTGATGACCAGCAGAAAAAGCTTAGCCTGCATTTTAAAATGCAATTACATGATGTACTATATGTTTAAAAAATGGTTAGTCGGAATGAGAACTGGCGTAGCGACTTTATAATGGGAAATTTAAAGAAATAGCTTTTACTCATGAATTCTACAAGTGGATATAATTTTGAGACATGTTAATTAAGCAGTAACATTAAGTGTAAATATAACAATACTTATAAGACTGAATAATGTATTTAGTCTTTGAAGCTTGTAGAAAAATTATGTGATAGGTATGTAAGTCTATATTATTGGCATGAAATAATTTCTATTATTATTGTACCTACGTGGTAAATGCTGATCAAGGATGTTACTGGTATTCAATTCACTTTACCTAACATACTGAGTTTCATTCCTTTAATATGCCAACATTAAAAATGAAATATTTATTTAACTTATTTTACAAAGTTATTCTAAATCGTGTACAAATATAAATTAATGACATATCAAATATTACAATTCAATTTAATACTTATTTTACTGTATTTCCAAAATTATTTAGTTATTTTTCATCAATAAAAGAAACCACATTTATTGTAATCTAATTAAAATAGCTATATATATATATATATATATATAGGAAAGAGCACATAGGTATAAAGATTTTTTCTTACCTCCAAAGCACCGACCATGAGGTCTTTAAGTTCATCTAAGCAGCGATTGATGCGCGCACGCCGTTTCCTCTCAAGCAGTGGTTTTGTTATCTTTTTGTATTTAGCTGTTTTCGACAACGGAGCAGGATCCGAAGACATTATTCCTGTTCAAGTAAATTTATTACTTAATAAAAGTTTTGACTGATTTTTATTAGATACTCAGTATCAGTAATGAAAATATGCGTTATTAACCAAAGAAACTTTAATTTAAGATTAATAAGAAATTTATTCAAATATTATTTATTTATAACTTAACCCTTATTATTTTTCTATGTCTAATATAAGTTTTAAAAACATAAGTCAGTAATTATGTTGTTTAACAATAATAAATCAACACAAAACATTATAACAACAGCACTCACCTTGAATTACTTTCACAATAACAAACTTAAATCCAAATTAAAGAAAAAAATTAAAACATGTAATTAATATTGCGAGCTATAGACGCGCGTCTACGGTCGCGCGTCGGGTTCTACTGCCTGAAAAAAGCCTTACCCCGTCGCCCGCGCGCCCCGCCCGGCCCTTAGCCCCGCGCCCTGCGTATGCGCACCCATTCATACCACGCGAGAGCACGTGTGGCCCAACAATCAAGTTTCAAGCATGCGTAACTTACACTCATAGAATGATGAATATTATTTCCAGTTAAATATTAGTAATATCTTTCTACAGTTATAAGTATAACAATAACTATTAGGCACTAGTTGATTTTTTTAAAAAACGTATTTTTTCAAGTTATGAGTATAATAATTTTATTAGTATGAAATAGCCGATAGTTAGGTATAGATATACGGTATACAATCTGAATTGAAGTAGGTAACTTCTATAGTGTTTAAATATTATAAAATTTATTTTCATTTTTTTACATAAATTTTTATATGCTTACTTATATTCAGGAATTTAATGCTAGTGCTCGTATGAGATTTATATATTTAGATAAATAATACATATATATATAGCCTTTGTCATTCCGTTATTCTTGAATGAAATAGGTGTCTTCAAAATAGAGAAATAGTTTTTAAAATCGGTAAAGGAGTTTTTTAATTTATATATATAAAGACACATATCTAGATAGATATATAGAAAAATATAGTCAAATCTTCTCCATTTGAAGTTGGTTAAAAACAATCGACTCGAGGTATACAATTCTTAATACAAGCATGAAACAATGTTGCAATATTTAAATTGCATACCTGTTGCAATTACTTCCATCAGATTCCTACAAATTGTAATTTGAACTCATAAGAATGCACTGCAAATATATTTGTATATGAATACACGTGTACTTACAGTCATATGGTACGTACGTAAGAATATTACCTAATTACCTAGTTATTTATTTATTATAGATACACCAGCTGCGCCCGCGGTTTCACCCGCATAAAACTTACATCAATTCGGTAGTTTTTGCGTGAAATAGTAACAAATATCCATCAACACTACGGAAATCGTATCATTATGTGGTGCCCTTAGCACCACAAAAGTTGCCATTCCGGAGTAGTAAGATGTCTTTCTATCCTATAATTTGACTGATTTTTCTCATCCTTCAACCGAAACACATCTTGCAAAGGCCTGTCGCCTTAAATACGTGACACTTATTGACGTTGTACAAAACCTACACCTACTCTATTCAGTAATCGTGATTTAATAATTTAATAAACCAATCTTCAAATAAATATAATAATACAAAAAAATATATTACCTATACACAATGTTTTCCTTCATGTTAATGAAGAAAAATATGTACTTTTAACATTTTAACTGAAATATATATGTATAATTTCAATTAAAATACACTCGGCAATAGGTATATATAATGTAAAAAGTACTTGTTTTTTCTTCGTTAAAATGAAGGGAAAGAATGTGTATGTATGTAATGTAATATGTAATATACTTAAGTATATATTTCAGTTAAAACGCACGTGTCAATAAAACAATAAATTCCCTACATCCCGTTAATTTTCTCAACGCTGCTAAATAAACAATACGTCCATAGACACATGAAAGCATACCGCTAATAACTTTTTATTACCATAAACAATGGCCACCGTTATATAATAATTCTTAGCTATTTAGTTAATGGGTAGGCAAGGTTGGCCGACCGCTATATGACCTGTGCTTTGGCGGTACCGAGAGATAAAGGTTGATGTAGACAAAGCTTCGGCACAAAAAAATCAAAGTAATAAATGGCATGGCCCTTAATGGGATGAAAGGTAAATGGGCGATGTGGTAACATTCTTTTGGCACGGTCAGGTAAAGGGACCTTCTCGAAAACGGCCCCGTCCGACTTTGTCCTTCGTTTTTAATACTTTACCTGTATGTTGTAAAATTACAGTAAATGTATAAACAATCAGTTGGGAAGCACGTGAACGGCACACGCGTATATTTAAACAAATTTCTTTTCTGTTAAAAAAAAATATATATCTGAGAAACATTAAAATTATTCAATTATTTTCGTTCCTTATTGTTAAACCAATATTATTGTTATAAACACGTAGTAATAATTAGTCTTTGTTTCTCTTTTAAAATAACTGTTTATTACAAAAATCAAACCAACACAAAACTCTTAAAAGGATTTTATAAATTCTAAATGAACATAATCGTAGATTAACTCTACTATCTTTACATAGTACCTATAAAATAAAGTTGCTGCCGCTGTCCGTTTGCTTCTATCGCTTTAAATTACGCAATGTATTTTAATACAGTTTTCTGCATTAGATAGAGTTATTCAAGAGCAAGGTTTATATGTATAATACATGCGTGTTATTGTACAGAACAAGCCGAGAAATTCAAAGATTTGTAATGCGCGAAATCAGACAGGTCGATAGTTGTAACTATGTACATAAAACTGTAGTTGAAATTATACCCATATCCGTTATAAAACTATAGAATAGAATATGTGTCACGAAAGAACATATTTATATGAAACAAAACCCCTTATCAAGTCACATACAGACGTCACTTCCTGCGCCCGCGCCACCAGACGACGACCAGCCTTCATGATTACATTGTACACAAAAATGCACGTTTACGGACCTAATGTTGCATACAGACTAAACAATGACACAGCTATGAGTCAGGGCTACGCAAACAGATCCCACATCTTACGTATTTGAATAAATTACCAAGCTAATAAAAAAACTCACCGTATTTCTAGTAACATGTTCGTTGGTATATGTATAATATAAGATGACATCTTACGGTATTCTGACGTATGCTATGACTATGCAAAATTTATCCCGGTATTGTAAATTCTATTTCAGTAAATGATTTCATTACTTATAAATAAATAGGTACTGTATAAAAGTCATCTAGTCCCAAGCTAAGCAGAGTTTGTGTTATGGGTATTAATTACAAATACATTTTATTTTGTAAATGCATACATAATATACATAGAAAATACCCAGACCATTACAAACAATCATACTCATGAATACAAAAGGTTGTACCGTGCAAGGAATCGTACCTGCGACCATCGGAGGTAAAGGTGTGTGCTAAACAGCTAAACCACCGATGCCGTTATAAATAATAAATCCTATACCTATAGGTATATATCGAGATTACTTTTTACTATTATTTATAAAAGACAATGTGAAAGAAACAGTATCAGATCATAGATAATGCAGCGACCATAGATTTTCTCAACATGCGCCAGCAGCCAACCCTAATAAATATTTTTTGATAATATTTGATTTATTAAGGTTTATTGACATTTGTCTTTTTTATGAATAAAGTTTAAATCTAACTTTTTTATTGTAAGTAAAATAAAATTTAAATTACACAACATGTAAATTTAAATTATTATATTGATATAAAAGTTAATAATTTAAAATAACTCTAATGAGATCGTGGGTTATACAAACTAATTATTGAACAGCATTATTACAATTGATATTTTGTTTGTAATAGTTAAAAAATAAGAAAGTACCCAAGTATCTGTATATTATCTATTTCTATATTACTTTGTGAGTAGTTTGTTTATTATAAATAAAATTTGTAATAAACAACATATCTATATAATAAATTAGCTGTACCCGCGGTTTCGCCTCACAAACTTTCGCGTTTATAATATTAACAATTGTTTACATAGTTATAATATAATGTATCACTGTATCGAGATGCTCTCAAGCTAAATATAGCCTAATGAGTTACCATAATAAAACAATAACGCCTTCACACATGCTACTTGAAGCTGTAGCTGACGTGTCGTGTGAGGCCGCGCCGCTTTGGTTTCCCACGCGTGCCACGAAAACAAACGCCCACGCACGATGACGTCTCAAGTTAATTATTATCTTAATATAAATGTGATAGTCATAGACGTAGATAGATAGTCGTAGATAACGATATTTAACGAGTTATAAGATAAGAGACGTAACATCTTAGTACTCGGGAATGACAACACATGATACGTCTACCCGTAGTACGTGATAACGTGATGTCCGTAGTGCTGTTCGTGTATATACCAACGGTTACCGCTTACCATCAGGCGGGACGTCTGCTTGTTTGCCATTCCAATTATATATATGTATGTATTTATTTATACACGAAAACTACGTTAATAAATTTTCTTAAAAACGCTAGTACCTTCTTCTATAGGAAGTACATAGTTCTGTTCATTGTTTAACTATGCTTTAATTTTTTTTAACTATCTCTTTTTACATACTTTTGTATTATAACGAAAAAATTCAAATAAATCCGGTTTTCTAGTGTCGCTGAAACTCGAATGCTGCTTATATATTTTTTTTTAACAACAAGCAAACAAGTGTCAAATTTAGATACAAAAAATCGCAATCCATATCTATCTAGTCAGCACGATACTACCGATAATCACGGGTTCCTTTCCTCGTAACGTTGGTCTCGGTGGATCACATATATAATATATTATGTATTTACAAAAAGATGTCTTTCTGTCAGTTCTTGTTTTGCTCAATGTATATGCATGATGAAATTATGATCTTTAATAAAAAAGAAACAAAAAATATTATGTGTATCTGTTTATTCTTGCTATTTTCTGAAACAGCGACTTTCACTCGCAGAAAGCTAATATTATAACTGACTAACATAGGCTACTTTTACTACAATAGTTAAATAACAAGCAAACGAAGTAGCGGGTAACAGCTAGTAAGCAATAAAAGTGATTAACAAACAATAGAGTGCAGAGTGACCTTCGCAAATTGAGAAATGTCAGTTTATAAAAACCATAAGCTATACAGTTAGGTCACGTAGGGACGTTTAGTGAAAAAAACACAAAACGACTGCAATAAAATGAGTGCCGTCGGATAGTTTACAGAACTAGTTCGCGGCGCCCGCGCAACTAATTGACGGTCATTCTACCCTGAAGAGACGGACAGCAGAAAAACTAAGAGTGTTTTATTAGATTTTTTATGGATAATAATGGAATGGTACGCTCGCTTGAGTTAACAGTTTACCCTGGCGGGGCACAAGTGGAAAATAAGAAGATCATGA